GCCCTGTGCCTTTCCAATGCGGGACTTTATTTCAGCCCCTGTTCCTCATTCTCTGTCGATTATACTCCCAAGATAGCAGAAAGATTCGACGTCTTCTAGTGCATTTCCTTGTACTGTGACCTGCTCCTTTCGCCGTGCATCTATCCTTAGGACTTTCGACTTTCTGGGGTGGATCCTCAATCCAACAGACTCGGATAGACTGTTTAAAATTGTCGTCTTAGCTTACATCTGTTCCTGAGAGTGTGACAGAAGCGCCAAGTCATCTGCAAAGTCCAGATCGCCCAACTGTGTCCATGGTGTCCACTGTATACCGTTTCTGTGTCCTCTGGTGGTTTCCTTCATCAGCCAGTCAACATCCAATATGAAGAGGAACGATGATAATAACATCCCTGTCTCACACCAGTCTTGATGTCAAAGTTGTCAGTTAGCTGACCATCATGTACAACCCTGCAACTTGTCTCTTCGTACATGCTCTTAATGAGGTTCACCAACCTCTGTGGGATTCCGTGGTGTCTCAGTATCTTCCATAGTGTTGCTCGGTCTACACTGTCAAAAGCCTTCTCATAGTCAAGGAAGTTGACGATCAGCTGGGAGTTCCATTCCAGGGACTGTTCCACAATGATCCTGAGCGTGGCAATCTGGTCGGTTGTTGAGCGATTTTTCCGGAAGCCAGCCTGTTCATCCCGTAGTCTTGGATCCGTTGCTGTCTTGATTCTCTCCAGAATGATTCTGTTGAAGACCTTACCTGGTATTGAGAAAAGAGTGATCCCTCTGCAGTTGCTGAGATCCCCCTTTTTTGGAAGCTTCACGAGGTGTCCTTCTTTCCAGTCCTTTGGGAACTTGCTCTCATTCCAGATCCTGGTAAACAGTGGGAGGAGGATGTCTGCCGTGACATTGGCCTCTGCTTTTAGGGCTTCAGGTGAAGTCTGGTCAGGACCAGCCGCTTTACCTTTGTTTAGCTTCTTAATGGCATCCAGAATCTCTTGTTTTGAAGGAGCATCACAGCAGATTGGTAACTCATTCCTTACTGGCAGGATGTTTGCGGGTGGTCTGTTCAGGAGACTGTTGAAATGCTCTACCCATCGTTTGGACTGAGCTTCCTTTCCAAAAATGGTTTTCCCCTCTTGGTTCTTTACTGGTACTTCAGGTTTCCCGTATTTTCCAGAAAGTGTCCTTGTGGTCTGGTAAAGGATTCGCATGTGCCCTCCTATCGCTGTTTCCTCTACCTTCTCTGCTAGCCTGTTCATGAATTCCTCCTTGTCTTTTCTTAGTGATTTCTTGACATCTTTAGCTGTTGTCTTGTACTTCTCCAATGCATCCACTCTTGATCCTCTTGTTCTACTTGCATTCTTGCATTCGCTTCTGCCTTCAGCTGTCTTCTTATCCTAATTAAATCCAATGAGTGTTGGCTAATCCATTCCTTGTGCTCCTATTTCTTCACACCGAATACTTCTTGACATGTTGATGTAAAGACTTCTTTACGCTTGGTCCAGTGTGTATCCACTTCAATGTCTTCCTCACCGAGATTCACCAAGGGTTGAAATCTGTTCTTCAACTGTAGTTGAAACTCCTGTTTCTTGTGTCCATCTAAAAGACTTACTTG